CATCACTCCGGAGCTGCAGGACTGTAGTTGGGGCTCCCCTCAGCAAGGGGGTGATTTGCAGCTGACACCCACATTGTTGGAGCTGAGAGGGCCCTTCCCAGAGGCGGGGATTTTCCAGGGCCGGGGTTCCCAGAGCCAGCTCAGCCTCCCAGAGTCTTTTCTCACTTGGCGAGATTTCTAAAACAAGGATCCCCAACCCATGAAGCAGAGTCTCCTGGGGATGGACGTGGTCCCTGCTACTTTTGTGAGAAGTAGAAAAAGGAGCCCCACTCGGGGCAGATGCAGTCCCGCTGGGATGTGGCTTGCAAGTAGACAGAGACTTTAGGTAAAGAAAAACCTTTTCCTCCCTTTGGGGAACACAGCCCCGGGCGGGTAGGGGGTGGGGGGAGCGTGCTGTGGACTGCGAGCGGACTGCCACGTGCCTCTTTGTACAGCACACAACTGCCTTGCTGCGAGCAGCGCCCCGGGTGGGGCTAGTAAAAAGCCCTGCAGGTGAATCTGATGATCACGCGGGTGGGAGCTTATACGGCTGGAGAGCGGCTGTGACCAGGATTGACCCACTGCGGTCAGCACCTGGCACGGGCCACCACCTTCTGCTGGGGTTCTTCAGACATTCCCAGGCCAACGTTAAAGCGCCTTTCTTTTTTACCCACACAAAGTGAGCAAAGGAAAGCCTAACCTCCAGGGGTTACATTTAGGGAATGGAGGGAAGAAGGGGAGGGGAGGGGCGGGGTAAGGAAGGGAGGGGAGAGGGAAGAGGAGGGAGGGCCCTTATCTATATTAAACAGGCCCAGCTCTGCCTGCTTGCACAGCTGAGTCATGCTATGCATCCTGCTCCACCCCTCCTGGCCATGACACAGCTGCCAGGGGCCATCTCTCCGTCAGGGCTGGGCTCTAGGGGGCAAGCAGGGTTGATGGTGCTGGTGGGGAAGCAGGGAGGCAGCCGTGATGTTCCAGTGCGTGACTGAGGCCTTGCTTCCCTGACAGAATGTTCCCCTCTTCCCCAGCAAGCTGTCAGTGCCCAGTCTCTTCCAGGGGGACCTCCTCCAGCTGGCTGACTCCTGGGAGTCCCAAGGGGTCCACCTGACAGGGATTACACAGAGCCTATGAAACTGGATGGTCTCCATTGATCCCGATAAAGTCAACAAAAGTTTCTAGAAATACTGCACTTCGTGCTGGTGTAGACATCTGAGGCTGGTCTTATCACGCACAGCTGGTGAGGGCATCATGTGGTGCATTTCTAGGAAGTAGTTTGGAGATGTGTATCAAGAATTTTAAAAATGTATGCCCTTTAACATAAAATCATGCTCCAAATATTTGCATGAAATAAAGATGTGGCAAAATGCTTATGCACAGAGATATCTATCATAGTAGCATTTATACAGTGAAACAGGAAATTCAACCTAAACGGAAATGATTAAAGACATTAGGATACAGTCATGATGAAATATTATACAGCCATTAAAGTTACATTTTTGAGTTGTTTTTAATGATTTGTTAAGGTGCTTGTTAGCTATTCTAAATGAAAAAGGCAGGGCTCAGACTTTTAAAATGAAATTTAATAAAATATATGTGCATGTAAAAATACCTTCTGTCTAGGTCAGCAATTTTCAAACGGTGTGATGCAAGAATTCTTATTTTATTTATGTATTTATTTATTTAAATTTTTAAAAATGTATTGCATGAAATTTCAATGCTTCCTTTTTTCCCCAGTGTTTTTTTAAATTAAGTTTATTGGGGTGAGATTGGTCAACATGAACATATAGGTTTCAGGTGTGGGTTTCTATGTTACAAGTTCTGTATATTGCACCATGTGCCCACCACCCAAAGTCCAATCTTCTCCTGCCACTTTATATTAGGACCCCACCCCCTTCCCTCTGGGAGCCACCACACAGCTGTTTGTGTTCACCAGTTTCAGTTTTATATCCCACAAGAATGTTAAACACATGCAATGCCTAACTATTTAGTCAGGGGCACTGACCTCTTTTCCCTTAGATTGTCAAATAAAAAAAATGACAACAACCAATTCAACAATAGCCGTCCGGCATGAATGAATCAAAATGATGCCTATTTTCTTTTGTTATATCGGCAAAAAATATGATACATTTTTCGATGTGCCACAGAATTTTAGTAATTAGTTTATGTGTGCCAGGAGATGAAAAAAGGTTGAAAATCGCTGGTCTAGGTGATGGGATTTGGTTTTATCCTTTTAGGCATTTTCTATAATGAGCATAGGTTATTTTTACGGTTGGGAAAAACAACACATTGTTTAAAGTCTTTTCCGATATTGTAGACAGAGCTCTCCTGGCCTGCAGTCCCCCCTCACTGCAGCCCTGCTCCGATGCAGGCCACTGCTGGGGGCAGGGGGAGGGCCCCTGCATTGCCCTGAGCAGGCCTTCGGGCACTTACACTTCGAGCCTATACCATTTATACTAGTCCTGGCTTTGCCATTAACTGGCTGCAGGACTGTAGACAAGCCATTTTATTTATCTGGGTTTGGGTGGAAGGGTGCTCGTTTATAACATGAAGTGCCTTGACTTGATGATATAAGGGTTAGATTCTGATTCTGTGATTCTGATAAACGTACTGAGTCAAGGTACTCGTGAATAAGACTCCATGATTTCCTCTTCTCCACTGTAAGTATCTTAAGATTCTTGTCTATAGCTAGAAGAGTGGCTCTCTAATGGTGGAATTTAACATCAGATTGTGAATCCCCTACACCCAAAAACTGGCCTTATTGCTCTCTGCAGTTCACAGGTTCTAGACATTATCTGGCCCTTGTGAGAGAGTCAGGGTCCCTTCCACACGTGTCTGACCCTGAGAGGGAGAGGAGAGGAGAGGAGAGGAGAGGAGAGGAGAGGAGAGGAGAGGAGAGGACAGCAGAGAAGTTCCTGGGTGCTGAGCTGCCTTCCCTTCCCTGCTCCCTTCCCCGTGTCAGCTGTTCATAACTTTCTGTCTGCTTCCTCTGTCTCCATCCTCTTCCCTGTGGTGGAGTTGGGCTTATGTCAGTGTGGTTCCCTGGTGGGCTGATGGCTCAGCCACCGCAGCCAGGGGAGGTGGGGGATGACTCATGCCCTGGGGCCAGTGAGTCAGACGTAGGGTGGGCTGGCCCAGGGGCTGTCCTAGGACGGAAAGCAGGTTCTAAGTACACAGAGGCCTCGCTCCTTCCGGAGGGGCACTGCCAGGAGAGAGAACCAATCTCTCTGTGAACTCATTCGGGAACTCTTCTTGCCAAAGAAAATGCCACCCCTTCTGAGCCTCAGAAGGTTGTGTTTGGGTAAACTAAAACAACCTGGATGCCAACTGCCTGCTCCCCTGGCATCTGGGAGGAAGAAGAATAACAGCTTAGTTGGAGCCAAAGGAGATAAGAATTTCCCATTCCGACTTCTCATGTCCTGGGGTTCAGCCCGCAATGTTTCAGAGCTCAGAGTATTCTTTCTTCCTCTTCCCTGCTCAGGAACTGAGGAGCAAGTGCATTCACGCTGCCCTGGAGTTAAAACTGGGGGCCTTGGGCAAGTTATTTAACTGCTCCAAGTTTCAGTTTCCTTGGCTGGAAAGGATGGGATAATAAACTCACCTCATGGGTTGCTGTGCATTAAATAAAACCTAGCACCCACCACAGGCCTGGCTTCAGAAGGTGCTGAGCCAATCTTCATGCAGAAACCCAGTGGAAGCACCATTGCTTTGGGACTGGCTGCGAGATCTAAAGTCAGTCTGTGCAGAAGGCTGACGTGTCATCCCCCGCCCCCCCCGCCCCCCAGCATCTCACGTGTTTTAGGTGTCAGCTCCAGGCTGGTTTTGACAGGCACAGCTGGTTTTCCACAGCTTGAGGCACCTTCTCCCAATCTAGAGCCTTCTCTTCCCTTTTAGGCATTTGGGGCCTTTCCCCTTCCTGGTGAGCCATCCTAACAGTGTGCTTCAGCGGGCAGTGAAAATAATGAACGCAACGAACGACTGTGTCCTAAGGATTACTAGACAGAATCGGTATTACTGAGGTTTCCTTTTGTTTCAGGCTCCCATATGGTCTGCTATTGATTCAGCCGTCATTTACAAATTTGATATTTTCTTCAACATGAATTTTTGCATTAATTTTTAAAAATTTTTGCATTAAAATGTTATTTATTTAAAGTACGGAGCTCCTTGGCACTCCCTTAAATTTTGCACCTAAGGATTACATCTTCAGCTCTAGCCCTGTGGGGAGGGATGCATTTGGGGGGCAGAGGGCCCCGCAGACTGTGCCTGCTTCCTTAAACCTGTGACCTTGCTAATGGGAGCTTTTCTCTGCCCCCACCAGAGGCCAGGATAAGTTCCTAGCCTGGCGCCACCCCATCCACTCTCGCACCCCTATTTCAATTGAACTCAGGGATGACTCTAGATCAGTGATGTTCAGCCAGTGTGCCATAAGGATGTTTAAAACATGCAAAAAACTGACTGTTTAGTCAGGGGCACTGAGCCCTTTTCCCTTAGATTGTCAAATAAAAAAATGACAACAGCCAACACAATAGCTGTGGAGTCTTGAACCATAAATACTAGTATATAGGTCATACAATAGAGCACATCTTACTGGTCATGTCACATAATAAGGTTGCATCTGATTGGTTAATTCTTGGTGCCAGAAACTCTTATATACTCTTATAAGCACCTGGTTTTTTAAAAAGTCACTTTGGAGCAAATAGGGTAGGTAGGTAATTACTCTTATTTTTTTTTATTTTTTTGTAAATCAATCAAAATTATGCCTACTTTTTTGGCAGATCGGCAAAAAATATTTTTTTTGGTGTGTCGCAAAGTTTTAGTAATTAGTTTATATGTGCCATGAGATGAAAAAGGTTGGGAATCGCTATTCAAAATCCTTGAAATCTTTTCAGTTCCGTTTAATTCCATAACTATTACTCAAGGGCAGTATCCTAAGTGCCAGACAGGCACCTGGTTAAGGCTGGGGGAGGAGGAAGATGGGAGACAGAAAAAGTAGGAGGCACAGTGCGCCCGCCCTGGGGCACCTGGACGGGGCGCCCTGCCCAGTGGAGGGAGCTGAGGCGGGAAGGCTCCAGGGGGCGGCTCCAGGCGGCAGACTCTGTACCCTCAGGACTAACCTGGGCACCTGGGGAGGGCGCGGGGGACGTCAGGAATCCCAACCAGGTCTGACTTCCTCTCTGGGCGACCGGGCGCCCAGGTTCTGGACGCCGGCCAGGGAGGCGGCACCGCGCGGGTCCTCGGCGCTTCCTGCGCGCGGGGGACGCGGAGGAGGAGCGCGGAGGAGCATGCGGCGCGGGGACAGCGCACCGGGAGGGCTCGCAGGTGGCGACATGGAGGACGGCGGCGTGCTCAAGGAGGGCTTCCTCGTCAAGAGGGTGAGCGCCCGGAGCCTCTCCGGACCGGACTTTGCCCAGGGCGGCTGGAGGGCGGGCCCCCGCGCACCTGAGCAGCGTCCCCAGCTCGGCTCCAGGGCGGATCGGGCGCCTGGGGTTCTGCGGGGCAGAGCTGTGTCCGCGGGGAGAGCCGGCGGACAGCTTTCTACGGAAAAAGGCCGGGGCACAGGCCAGGCCAGTCCCGATTAGCGTGGATGGGGTGCGGGTGGTGGCCACCGAAGCGGCTATCGTAATGACAACAACTTATTAAAGTAGGTAGTATTTCAATCTGATGGATTGAAGCAACGTAAACGCGCCTGTAGTTCACAGTGCCCATCCATGTAATTCCCGCCTGTACGCTTCACAATAACCCGGGAGCAAGGAGGAGGCCTGTGCTTCTTAGGCGTGTACTGTGTGTGTGTGTGTGTGTGTGTGTGTGTGTGTGTGTGTGTGTGTGTGTGTAGGGGGTGGGGGACGACACTGTCTCCTTCAGTCCTCCCACAGGTGGGACCACATGATCCCCTTTCTCCAAGGGGAACACAAAACGCACAGAGGCAGGGTAACTGGCTCAGGATCTGGGTGCTAGTGCGTGATGCAGAGGATTACACCCACTCAGGTCTAGCCAAACCCTTTCCCGCCCCCGCAGGGTGGGCATCGTTATCGCTCTATCACAGATGAGGAGACCGAGGGTTAGAAAGACGAAATCCTCCGCCCAGAACCCCAGGGCCAACCGCAGATAGGACTGGCCCCTCCATCCCCAGCGCTTCCCCATCGGCCCACGTGGCCTTTCCCACAGCAGGCAGGAGTCCAGACAAAAACAGGGCACAGGATCACGGTAGAAAATGATAAAGTCCTTCTAGCATTGGTGTTCATGCTTGGCATTTTTGCTAACATAGCAGCAGACCATAAAAGCTGGGGGTGAGTTTACAGCGTTGGGAGGGGCTGACAGAGGGGTGGCTGTGCTCTCCTTTCCATTGCCGCCTCGGGTGGCCAGATCGGCCCTGGAGTCTTCATGTCGTAGGTGATGCAGCCTGTCATGTTACACCTTGTTTGATAGAGGAGGGTGGGTGTGTTGTTTGCTCAGAACTGTAAGTAGGAGTGCTAATGCCGGATCAAGGGTCAGATTGCATTCAAGCAGGTACAAAATTCCACTCCTGCTTCATGCCACTGCGATTAACGCCGTAGGCTGGTGCCTTATGGTTTGTGGAGGCAGATGCACCTCAGCTTCTGAAGTGTGAGGGAAGGTGTTGAGCTGGGCAGGGGGGTTTGCAGGGCATCACTGATTGTTGGGAAGCTGGGTCCTGGTAGGGGCCTGTGGAGGACAGACTCCCTCAGAATGCCCCTTGTGGGTCTCCTCCCCCGCTCCCCCGCCCCCCCCCCCCATTCCCAGGGGTTAGCGTACCGGATTCCCCACCTGCGGCCAGGCAGAGTCAGGGGACCAGAGGGGAGGATGTGAGTTCTCTTCTGCACAGGCTGCCAGTCCTGCGTGTCCGGCTCACAGAGTCCAGGGTGCAGAGAAGTGAGGACAGTCCACAGGTCTGACCCCCAAAACACACAGTGGGGGCTTGGCTGAAATACATAAAGCTCATTCCAGCTGCAGGAGGGTTTGGGTTCAGAGGCGGGCAGGGCCGTAGCTGGAAGCCCAGAGCACAGCACAGTCATCACGCAGAGGGTGAAGCAGGGGCAGGCAGGGGCATGAAGGGTTTGGCTCCTAATTCTGCCCAGACAAGAAAGAAGCAGAACTCCAGGCAAACCCAGGCTGCTCACGAGGCCTGGCTTTGAAGGAGGGGTGGGGTGGGCGGGGGGGGAGCCAGGTTCAGCGTGGGTAGGACCGCTTTTCCTTTCAGAAGAGGCGGGAGCACTTCAGACATTGCTGCCCCCTTCATTCCTTGAATGGCACGCTTAGAAAATGGCAAGGTTAACATGCTTCGGCCTAGAAATTTCATTAGTCGGGCTCTATCCCCAGGAAACACCATAAAAGGCTTATGAACAAAGTGTTGCGTATGTAGTGAAAAACTGGAAACTACCTATATATCTCCTCCCCCAAAATAGACAAATGATTAAGTAAATGATGTTTAAAATGTTCATAATATTATAACTTAAAGCGTAAAAATGCTAAAGGTATAAGTAAGGGGAAATGTACGTAACAGAGAAAAGTCTAGAAGGAGTTCTGGAGGCTAGAAGTCTGAAATCAAGGGTTTCCTCCTGACACTAGTAGGGGAGAATGTGTCCTTGCCTCTTCTGCTTCTGGCATTTGCAGGCTGTCAAGGAAACACCCAGATTTTTTTCCTTCCAATGTAGGGAGAAACCTGGTTCTTCTTTTCTCTCTCTCTCTCTCTCTCTCTCTCTCTCTCTCTCTCTCCTGTGAGTCTCCTTTACTTTTGCACAGAACACTCCACTGCTGACATTTCTGGTCACCAAATGTTTTCCCCACCAAGCAATTCTCTGTGACACCTGCTGGGTATCCTACAATTTAACTCAATTCTGACACAGTCGACACAGAGATAGTGTCAGGTCCCACAGGCTGAGGGCTCAGTCCTACAAGACTGCCTGTCTCTGCCCCGCCCTCCCCCCCCCCCCCCACACAAGAAAACTTCAGCCGTAGTCACAGACCTGGGAGGGAAGGCCCAATGTCCCACTCCTTGGATTTTGATTAATTTGTCAGAGTGGCTCCCAGAACTTATGGAAACACTTACTTATGGTCACCAGCTTATTGTATATATTTTTTAAAATATATTTTTATT